AATAGCACTTAACATAGTTTTTATACGTAGTAGTTATTCATTTAATGATTGTTGAATGAATGAAGAAAAACCTGACAAATCTAGATAATATAAATCCTGAGAGCTCCAGGAATGTAAATCTGGACTTGGTACTTAATGTTTTTAAAATTTGTTTTAATTCGTATGTTGCTATCTAAGTAGTAATTACTTCAGTAAATGGAACCTATACGTTAAAATCCTAATTTTCTTAACTCCACAACTGTGTGTGTGTGACTACTTAAAAGTTAGTATTTTTGTGGCTCTGGTTCTTTGTAAAATAATGAATTAGACTTTATAAACTTAAAACTAAATTTTTTATCAACTGGAGAAATTTAGCCTAAACTCCTGAAAGGATAACAGATATTAATACCTTATAAGTGTGCATAACCCACTTTGTTTGGAGTAAGTAAACATGGTTCCCATTTCGGGGTTTGCAAATGAGAAAGGTATGGACTGAGATGAGGCAAATGTAGAGGGTGGAGAGGTTCTTTTCCTATTTGTGTGGTATATGGCTCTAAAGCATGATCTGAGGCTCCAAACACAGTAGGACAGAATCTTCAGAAAGTCTTGAGAATATAGCTCTTTAAAAAGGTAAATCAAAGTTCACTGAGAGTATCATCTTTATTTGATACTTAGAAGCCTATAATTTTCCTTTGATTATTGTTAAGGGCAGAAAGAGTTTGTGCATCCTTGGTTAGTTTTAGCAGTAAATACCTGTTTATCATTGTTAAATGAGTTGTAAATAAAATATTTCTTCAGTGTCATCTTAAAGTAATTTAAGATTATAGTATTTAGTTTCATTATTTAAAGCGTGTACTCTTACTGTATTACTCACTCCCCTCCCTTCCAAGTACGACGAATATTCTATAATATTGCCGTTGCTGAAGTTTCTCATAGGGAAAGAAATTCTTACTGTGGACTAAAAAAGGATTTTTTAAAAACTGGGTTTTAATTACCATGTATTCTAGTAAACCTAGAGCTTTTATAGACATCGGTTTATTGTGCCAAGCCAGTAGCCCCTAGAGAGAGTATAAATTTAGGCAAAGGAGCCAAGGGATAAACAAGTGTTGAGGAAGAGGTGGGAGAAAAGGAAAACTTTATCTTGGCTCTAATTTACTGTATCATGATGTTTCTTTAGTGTCTTTTAATTGTTTACCCTAACACTTTCTCTTTTTTCTTCTCTTCAGCCATGAACTCTCTCCTAGTTCTTTGCCTGTGTTAACTTGCTTCAGATTGTACGCCTAACTTGCAACTTACACTACCCCAAATACAAAAACTTCACAACAAATCTCTGAGCTCTTTCTCTTTTCTTAGAGTTCATCTTTTATTTTTGAGTAATTCTTACTTATTCTAATACTTACCACTTATCTCTTCTACACTCCCCCCCCCCAAGTTTCCCATATAGCCTTTTCTCACATTATTTACTATAGCAAAATTGAAATACACACTGCTGGAGACAAGTGAAAGTACTTTTTAGCCAGATTCAGGTTGTTAGTAGCAGCTCCTCTTTGTTGACACATAGTTCGAAGTTCCAGAGAGCCATTTTAAGTTCTCATTTGCGCCAGATGCTAGTCTGTGTGCACCTGTGAGTCAGCAGGACAGGTATTATTCTTTCTGTTGTACAGTGAGAAAATTGAGACTTTTGAGACGTTGCATGAATTGCCTCAGCCAGTGCCAGGATTCATAGAAAGTTTAGAGAAGGAAAAAACCCAATGAAGATTTTACTTTGAGGAATTTAAGATTCTTCTATAAAAAACGATTTTTCTGAGATTTCTAAACTAATTAAGTTATAGGCTAGAACTCAAATTTCCTAACTCTTAATATAGTACTTTTTCTTCTCTCAAGATAAAAAGCTCTATGATACAGTACGACGGCAGTGTTTTTCCTTGATACCTTAGTTTGAGGTAGAAATGGAAGATGAGCATATGATGCAGCTGACACATTAGTTCTCAAACAAGATGGTCATGTAGATAAAATGCATTTGTATATTTATTGCATTTTGAACTGTTTTGTAATTTAAAAATTAAGTTGAGGGTAATAATCATATGAAAAAAGCCTTCTAATACTCTTTCTCCATCTCCTCTTTTTACTATTTATTCATTCAAAATTAGAAAACTTAACTAGAAGTATTTAAGTTCAGCTTATGTACACAACAAATTTTTGAATAATCAGATTCAGAAGTTGAATTTTTAAATTAATGGTTATTTTCTTTTAATGCTTATTTATATATTTATAAAGTTTTTATGACATGTTTTTTCTCTTAACTAGGTTGAATTTTTCATTTATTGGCCTATTAAAGATTACTTCTTCAGTTATTCTGTGTATCTGTTGATTTTCATTCTTTAATAGTTTAAATGGTAGGTTTGGCTGAATACATTGATTTCAGAATGTATCTTAGAAGCTTGTGTTTTTTAGTGAATCTCAGTTTAAGGGTTATTACTTCAAAAAAAAGAAATTTGGTTGATTGTGTCTTCTGGCTAGTTGGAGTTTAGAGAAATGAGATTTGTTGTATGCCAGGTGTTTCATTTAGTATGACGGGGGGAAAATCCTAATTTTACAGTAGTACTGTGTGAACAGCCTGATACCAAAGTTCTGGAAAGAAACCAGGCCTAGGAGATAAGTAATCTAGGGAATATTTTTTTTTTTTACTTGAGGATATTTTAGATTCTAAAATGATAATCAGTTCATCTAATGAGAGGAAAATAATCATTAATCCTCTTATAAGATCTGAAGTTATATTATTGCCTTTGAGAAAAGTGGGCCTTGCTAGCTGTGATGATATTCCTCAACCTACCTTTTATGTCAGTCTAAGCAAGAAGAGATTTTCTCTTTTTCCGTAATACATGCCTATTTTTAACACACTGAGTTTTACATAATTTCAACAATATTTATAAAATATACCTTTCTGGCGCTGAATTAGTGTGTTTTTAAACACAAAATGTGTTTGTCTTTACTTTGAAATCTCATAATTGGGCCCTAGATTCAAGAGTGATTTTAAAATTTAGGGAAGCCACTGCATCCCGAAACATTTTCTTATGAGAGTGAGGGGGGAAAAGTGTAAAATTTCAATGTAAATACCTTGGTATTAATATGAGAATTCCTAAAGGTGAAAGTGATGTCAGTGTTTTATTTAAAATTTAATGAAAGATAATGGAATTGTAAGCCCAAAGAAACTGAAGGCAAAGGGACATTTTGAGAAAATGGCTTGTTTATATATGTCTAAATATATATTTACTTACATGTTTTTGTCAGAGACCAAAATTGAGGAAGAAATTTGGCTTTTTGGTGGTTTGTGGAGTTTATCAGAGATTGCTTCTTGGCTAAGTTACTGTCTGCATAGGCTGTTAACAATTGTTTCTCTGGCAGCAGATCTTGTTCATCAGGATTGCATCATTTCTGGGAGAATGGCCAAGGTCCACAGCCACAGTACAAAGACTGTCTGAAGCATATGAGGCCTGTTCTTTTTCTGAAGCGGCACTCCTCTTCCTGCCAGTCCTCTTCATAGGATTACTGAAGCAGACTTGTTCTGAAATTTCTTTCATTGGATTGGCTGTTTATTGGACTCTTGTCTCCCAGCTGCTTCCGGCTCACCTGGCTGATGCAATTTCTTTTCCTGAAATCTCTATTGGAGTTGTTCTTAAAACACTTTTTGTCTCTCTTCTCTGAGAGTGAGTTACCAGACAGATCACACGGGTCTTGTGCTTTCAGCAAGTCATATAGGGAAGAGACTGTCAGAATGGCAAGTACAGAGACTGTGGACCATTTCTGAACCAATTAAAAAGATAGGGGTAGTTAAAAACTATTTCTGCCATGCTCTTAACAGCCTTTCCCCTAGAAACTGTATGTAAATGGGGACTTTTCAAAAGAGTAGTCAGTAGTGGGAAACAGGCTGGTTCTGCTTCTAAGTACAGGAACGTACTAGTGTTCCTTGGGGTTCTTACGGATTTTTCTAGAAATAGTTAAATTGAAATGAAGTTGAAATTCTGGTGCATTCATTTTCTGTCTGCTGTACAGTCATGTACTTCTTTTTCTACTCCTGTCATTTCTTCTTTCTTACTGGTTGTTGCTAAAGGAGTCTTCCTTGGTTTGATTTTTTTTTGTTGTTGTTCTTCCTTCCTTTTACTGTTACCTTCATACCTTTCATTTTTATAATTCTGAGTGTGCTCTTTGAAAATTGTTTCTAAAGAATAGTTTATTTTCCAATTCTTAATAAAAAGTTAGAAATCCATAAGATATCAACATAAAGTACATTTGCACTCTACTGCTTGGTAACTGGAATCCTGCAAACAGCTCTATTCATGTATATGATATATTACATTTCAGTGTTAATACCCTTTCTGCATAATGTTAAATTTGACTTTTTTCCCCCTAACATACTGGGTCATCACCTATTTTCCTTTTTTTTTTTCCTTTCTTTTGGAAGGTAGAAGGCTAATTAAAGCTGTATTTTTTTCATCTTTCCATTATGACTACAAATAGAACTGACTCTATTTTGTCACTCTGTAGTAGGACAGGAAGATAGCGGGAATGGAGTCGGGGGAGAAAGGAGTAGTATGAACTTTTAATAGATGATGATACATCTCTGACTGACCAGAGGAAATTTGACATTTGATTAAAGAAAAGCCTCTCAATTTAGGAGTGGGTCAGTAGAGAAGAGAGGCACCTCCTAGGAGGTATAGAAAGAAGGAATCCCTTAGAGATGGGAGATAATTCTAGTTTTAAGGAAAGAAAAAGATTACCCAGAGACAATATTTACCACTTTTCAAGTCAAATAAAGGTAACTTCCTTTTCTACCCTATATTTAGATTCTGGCGTTACAGGAAAATAAAATAACAAGGTTAAAGGACAAAGATAGAGTACTAGATGGAACAAGGCAGTATACAGAAATGAAACAAAATTACCATAAAAATATTATTTTTGTAGAATTCTCTTCTGTTTGTCTATGTTATTTCTCTACTAATTTGTGTCTCAACTTTTTCTAGGTCTTCAGAGCTACTGGCAGATAATTTTGGGGGACTTCATATTCAGAGGTCTATAAAAAGGTGACTGCACCAAATAAATTTAGTTTGGTTTAATTTCTGTATTTTAATGAATGCTAAATTTATAGTTTTGATATAATGCTTATTGTAATCCATTCAGCAAATATTCTCATACACTTTCTATGTGACAGGCACTGTTCTAGACTTTGGAACTACAGCAGAGGATAAAACACAAAAATCCTTGTCTTCATTGAGTTTATATTCTGGTAAGAAGAGAGGCAGAGAAATTTAACAAGTAAAAGATATCTTGAAACTGTTCCACCTAGAGACAGTTCTTTCTCTTTTTCTAGGACATATCTCCAAACAGTGTGATAAATTAGTAACTGCTGTGAATACTAGCTTTGTAAACTATAGTAGAAGTTTGTCTTGTCTTATAGAACTAGAGTAAATATAGTAAAATATTGCATATAGATGATCTGTTGAATTCTTCAGTTAACGTTTTAATAGCTACATTTTGCAGTGTTGTTTAGGGAAGGAACTCTTCACAGAGTTATATGAGAAATTTGGTTTTTTGTTACCATTTTTTGAATTAAAAATTGTAAAAGCTTTATTTCAAACAAGACAGCCAGACTAACCTAAAATGCCTTTGTCAGAAGCCCGGAAGAGGTCATGTAAAATTACACAAAAGGAAAATGGAGTAATTCATGAAAGAGTATGAAAACTCATAGTTTAACTATTTAATCTTCCTTAAAATTATTTATCAGTTCCCAAATTACTAGGTTGGGCTTTCATTAAGGAATTTATTACTCTCTTAAGTCATTTATAAGGAGATATTATCTGAAGTGATTTTTCTGTCTTTAATATATCTTTAAAAAATTACTCTCAGAAAAACAACCACTATCAGCTTAGTTTTATAAGTTTTCTTTTATTGAGGTGCCTACTTTTTTTATGGGCATAGAATATTTTCTTAGAGCTGTGTCGTATATAATCCTTGTCTGTAGCCCATAATGGCTATGACAGGAGGGGTGTGTGTGTATGTCTGCATCTGTGTCTGTCTGTCTGTCTGTCCGTCCTTTGCTGAAATATAACACATGATTCAGATTCCTATGTTGGTCAGGGGTGGTATGATCATTATCAGTTAGACTCTGTTCTGTTTATTAAGCCGGGCAGCCTAAATAAATTAAGCCTTGGGCTTTTTGGGGGAGGAGTGGTTGGGGGGAGGGTGGGCAGTTAGGTTTGTTTGTTTAATGGAGGTTCTGAGGATTGAACCCAGGACCTTGTGCATGCTAAGCACGAGCTCTACCACTGAGTTGTACTGTCTCCCACACTTTTCCTTTTAATTTGAATTATGCAGTGATATCAAATAAAGAGTTGTGACCAACAGTCTCCAGTGTTTAAATATGCCCTTTTGAGCTTGTTTCATAAGTATTCTCTCTTCCATTAGTTGTAGATTTCATTTCAATTTCCCTAAGGATTGGAGGGTGTACTGCTCTGTTTGGATATATTGTTAGGGAAATGAAATATTCATGTGTATGATGGACGAAAACTCAGAAAGTTACATTAGTCATTTCTCTTTTATGAGCTATGAGGAAGCAGTAGATAGGAAGATTTGCCCTTTTCATTTCAATCCCAAGTGTAGCATAGTCATTTCAAGTTGAGTAGGAACAGGTGTATTGCCACGCCCAGATTTGGTAAGTTCTAGATCCATTGGTGACATCTAGCTGTTTCAGAGTTTAGGTACCCCAGGGAGGACTACTTATTTTGTAGCTGTTCTAGCGTTCTAAGATAACAATATGGAAAAGTAATATTATCTTTATGTGTTCTTAAAAATCTTGGCCTGTTTCATTGTTCACAATTGGGTTTCTTACCCACATTAATTTGCTTCATATATTAAAATAAGTCAAGCATCTCAGATCATCTTCCATTTTAAAATTTGCATTAATCCACTGGATTGAGTCAATTAATATATGCTTTTCATACATTTACTTTTTTTTTTGATACAAACTTTTTTTTTCTGCTGTCTTGTCTTATAAATCACCATGACAACCATGACTTCTTATTGTAGTCTTTTTTGCAAAAATCTTCACTAACTTGTCTTTAACATTCATGTTGACTTTCTTTCTTCCCATATAAAATGCTTCTTATTTCATCCTTTTAGTTTTTTTATAACAAAACTATAAAATCACTAATGTAAAATCAAGAGTACGATTTTTCCCTTTGTACCATACCTCCACATCTCTTAGTCTACTTTTGTTTCTTTATGCTTAAATAGTTTGAGAATCTTTCTGTTCCCAAGTTCTTCTAGCTGTGGTCACCAGCCAAGGTATTCTCACTACTTTTCCACACAGAATTTTTCTAATTTTTATCATGAAATTTTACTCTTTGTGGTTTATGGGGTTTTTTCTAATTTTTAAATTTTATTTTATTATTATTTTTTAATGACGTTACTGGAGATTGAACCCAGGACCTTGTGCGTGCTAAGCACACCCTGTACCACTGAACTATACCCTCTCTCCACCCCAGTTTATGTTTTTATTTATACCTAGCAGTGGATATTACCTCACAAATACAGTGAGACAATTATATCTTCTCCCAAAATTATAGTTATTAAAATGGTTTAGAAGGAGGAGTATTCTGTGACAAAAGAAGACGGCAATAAGAAATAGCTATATTCAGTCAAGTATAAACAAATTTATCTCTTAACATTTTTAATTTGCAAGAAATAACATTATTGCTACTGGTAAAACTCATTTATTTGTGATGGGGGCGCGGTGGAGGAAGAGTTTGAAGATCCTGAATTGTTAAAGAATTTAGTTAAACTATGATGTTTCTTTCAACCATCCTGTTTCTTACAACTTCTTAGGTCCTAGGATGCCAGAAAATTTTGTTTGATAAGCAGTTGTGGAATGAGGGAAATGTGCTTATTGGTGAGCTACGTAGACTATCACTTTCTCTTTATCTAAAAAGGAAAAAAACTAAAATAGAAATGAAAAGTGACCGTAACTTTTGCTACCTCACTTTGTGGAACAATAACATAGTTGCATAGTAAACATGGGACAATATTGATCTCTTGTTGTACCTGTTTTATATTTATCCCTTAAAAGCTTTGTTCAAAAAATGGAAAATATTCAGTGGCATTTACAATAAATTTCAGAAACTGTCTAGTTACTAGATATTTTCCTTTTCTGTGACAGAGTTCCTCATGTCCATAACATGTTGGTTAAGGCTCTGCAGCTCACCCCCACTCTCAGAGTGGCCAGTCTCCAATAATTGGACCCCGTGATTTCTGCTCTGCTGTGTTGGACGTCATGAGCATTGCAATCCCTCTGGGAGTCACCACACCAGATACATCCTACTCAGATATGGCTGCTGGATCAGAGTAAGTGCTACTTCCTAGGTAGTAGGTGCATTGCCAGTTTGTGTTGGAGACAACTTTCTTACGGGCATCTAATAATAAATATGTAGTATTTTCTAAACCCAAGCCTAGCCCACTGTAAATGACATTAGACCTTTCCCTTTCCCCCATAGAAGCTGAAAAGAAAAAAGAGTTAGAAGGGGGAGGAAAATAATTTGGGAGGATGGGATTTCTGAGTAAATAATTAATAGAATTAAAGTTGCTAAGTAGCCATTACTTTTCATTTGTTTTGATGGGTGAGGAGTATTAAAATAAGTAGGTGTCACTACCTGCTTCTGTAGAGTTAATGATTATTCTGATGAATGGAGATAAAGAGGAGTTCTCTCCAACTGATTTTCCTTGAAGGCCTCTTCCTATGTACTTCTCATTGTTCTAGAGTAAAGGGGCTGCAACTATATGGGCAGGTTACTTAGACCTTCTGGTACTTGGGGTAGAAAATGTGGAAAGCAATGTCATCTGTTTTTTATAATATTCATTGCCTAGAAAGAGGACCTTCAAAATCAGTGGTACCAAACTTTTTTTTCAGCTAAGAGCAGCTTTAGGAATTCAGAATTTGTCGAAAAGTCCAATCCCTAAAATAGACTCTCAGTTCTTGAAGAATTTAAATGCCAAATGGCAATGAAGGTAGGCCTTCATTATAAAACTTTATATATTATTCACAGTTTAAAAATTTTAGCCTTTTGTATCCCTTCTCTTTTAAGTTGTCCAAGATTCCCCCTGCTCACAGATTCCCCCTCTTGTCCTTTTACCTCCCTTGTACCCAATCTTCCTTGCTTACAGAAAGGAAGTGGAAGCCCCCTACCTTTCAAGACGAAGTGGCACTACACCAGGATGTGAAAGTCCAGCGAAAGAGACCCAAGGGGCCTAGGGGGCAGCACACCCCCAGAAGCCAAGTCTATTCCAGGCAGTACCAGGGATTAGGGTCTGGGCTGGAAAAATCCTGGTGTTTTGAATATGTTCAGGTCCAGTTCAGACTCTTGATCCCACAGCCACTTCTTGAGTGAGGTGGGTGTTGCTCTAATTCCCCTGTTTCTCTTGCCATTTTCACAGTCCCTGGGGATTCTTCCCCCTTCAGCAAAGTAAAGCAACTGTACCAGAACTCTGGGTTCAACTGCATCCCTGATAATAGTGGTTTTCTTCCTTAAAACTGAGAATATTAGTAAAGAGCATGTATATTTCTTCACAAAGCCACCTAGGATAACTTACCTGTTAACTAACTTCCTTATAAAGGAAGACTTAAAATGAAACTACCCTAAGAAGTGATATGTTATATTCTGGGGTAGTCTAGAATTGAAAGCAGTTTTTGGCCTTATTCCCATATAAAAAGAAAGATGGAGGGTGGGGGGCTGGGGAGGGGTGGATTGTGTTATTTCCAGAGCTTTTTTTCCTGTTCTGTTTTGTTTTTATTTTTTGCATGCCGAAGAGATTTAGTTATGCCAATAGCTGAGACTTCCAGTTTTCTATTTCCCAAATAAAGTGCTTAAAAATCTTCCTGCATTAATAGGTAACATAGTTGTATAGTGTTAATGGATTTTTATAAAGTCAACCACTAACCTATATAGCTTGACTAACAAGCTGTATAGGTAGACAGCATTAGCAGTAGTGGGAAATTTCAACAAAGAGATTAAATCAATGAGTTTGGGATTCGTGGATGAGAAAAAGATCTAAAGCAATTATTTTCAAAATGGGTATTTTTCCCAGGGTACAGAGCTGACTGCTCATAAATCTTGCTGGGAGTCCAGAAGTAATTGCAGAAACAAAAATACTTCTGGCCTAAAAATTTTACTCCAATGTTTCTATTTCCTGAAACATTTTCATCAATAATCTCCAGACAGATTTCAGATACTGTGGTCATAGCTAATTACACAGTTACTTGTTTAATATTTCTACAAAGTAAGAGAATATCAACAATTAGCTTATGCACCACTGTGTTAAATTGCTGATGATATTTGTAATGCTTCACCATGCATATTTCACTGTCATGCATATTCCACCGTTCTGGGCACTCTTAAGATTAAACCTGGTATGAAGGGCAAAATACTCAACTAAGTAAAAGACCTAGATCTTACCTTATGGGATTTTTAATCTGCTGACAATGATATGCATTGTGCTTTTTTTTTTTTGTATGTTTGTAGGAAAACTTATAGATGTAGTAGTAGAAACAAAGGTTTTTCTCAATTTACAATCCTGTCATAAATGAATTTCAGACATTTTCCAAGAGGTAGTATTGTAACAGGTTGCCTGTTTTACTTCTTAGTACAGTTAATGGAGTATCTGTTGTAAGCATGGTTTCTGTGTATGTGCCCAATTGTTATAGCAGTTCAAACATAGGAGAAGAAAGGCTATAATTACATTTGCGTAAAGTGGTTGGCAATCCTAACACTCTAAATTTTTAATCCATATTTTAAAATATATAGATAAGAGCTGATAAATATGTCTATATGTCACGGGATATCCTAGGAAATCCTATAGTTATCTATCAACATGTAACTGTATTTATTCAGTAAGCAATATGGAAGTTGCAAAGTTTCCTTTTCAAAAGATATGAGCTTAAATTTTAGTATTTGGCACGCATTAGGAGTATATGAAATGCTCTGCCTACCTAGAAAGTATTGTGCAATGGGATGGCCTTTTAACTGCCACAATATACATTTTATTTTTATTCCCTAGACTTGCACATGAAGTGCATATGTTCATATTTACCCAGTTTGGAGATGGGTAAGATACAACCAACATAGCTCCATCTCCATGGCCATCTTTTATTCCATATCACTTTCCTTTTTCCCGTCCAAAAAAAAAAATCCATTTCTAATAAACGGCTGTCATGTTTCACCCATGTGTTCAGTGATAAAAAATCTCTTATATAAAATATGTACAGCTCTTTGGAATATTTGTTTATCTAGTAAATTAACAATACTATGTAGTTACTACTTTCTCTTAACTGTCCATCATAGAAACTAAATTCTACCTTCATTTTATTAATGCTTGTTTGCCTTTGGTTTCATTTAGGAAACCCCACCTGTTTCCTAATTCTCAGAGCTGATTGCCTCTCAGTGAGCCATGTTCAGATCATCTTTTTCTCAAGAATACTGACCTGCATTCTTGATGTATCCCCCGCCCAGTTCCCATCTTGCAGACACTCTTTAAGTAATAAAATGCATGCAGTTCACTAACAGAGAATACTTTCCTATGTCTAAAGTTCTTCTTCACCCAGAAATTACCTTTGCTGTTATTAATAAGATCCCTTCTCACAGTTTTGGAGCATATAACTAGGTGAGTTGGATACATATCTCAGAACTTTCTTTTATCACTCACTTCTCAGCTGACATTGCACCAAGTTGAACTGTGTGCTTTATTCCTGCGAAGTACTGTATAATGTGTATTTCTAAGCAGGAAAAATGCATATTACTTGAAGCAAACAGTATTCATTATTTGACTCCCTAAAAGACTCTGATTAATCACTAAAGCTGAGTTATGTGTCTTTGGAGTTTCTAATTTGTGAATTCCTGTGCTGGTTAATTTAAGTGATGGATAATCCATTATTCAGTTCTGCAGAGTCATACAATTGCATTCCTTAGCTGTGTTTCACAATTCTCTGAAACCTAACCAGGTACCTAGCAAACAGAGTTATAGTTCTTTTTGCCCCAAAACTTGATTTTTGTCCTTTACCACCTATGCCTTTTTACTGTCAAGTAAAGGCATACATCAACTTCTTAAATTTGAGTACATTTATAATTCTTTCATATTAATAAATTGTGCTTGAACAGTTTATTTTCCACTCAGCAAGGGCACAAAAAGATACTAAACCAAGCTTCTCACTGAGGCCTGGTTACTTAAGATCTTACATAATTTTCTTTAAAGGAAGAGAGTTATTCTGGTTTCCAGACCAATCAGGCATAGTAGAAAGAGCACAGACTTTGGAGTCAGACTTCGTTTCAGACCCTGACTCTATCAGCGTGTGAACTTGGTGAAGTCATGTATCTCACCACCTCAACTTCTTCTTTTGAAAAAGTGGGATACTATTTACCATGTTTAGTAGTTGCATAGTAAATGAGTTAATACCTATAAAACATCTGGCAAATAAGGGGCATTCAAAATGGTAGTCAGCACTACTGTCGTTGTCACTAGAGTTTACTTCTGAGTACAGTTTTGATCAGTCTGAAGCTCTGTGGTATTAGCATGCAGCTATTAAATAATTGTGTCCTTGATATGCTTGCATGTCATTGGTGGATGAGAAATTATTACTCTTAATATTTGAAAGGTGTTGGGGGTTCATCAAGATGAGAGGTATGATAAATATAAGATGCCGTTGTTTTTACCTGTACTTTCTTCAGGGTATCCTGTCTTGGTAGTGAATGGAAGAGGGCCTGGTCCCTGGGGCAGTGCAGAAGGCACTTTCATCATCTCACTCACTGCAAATGTCATGTGAGGTTTCATGGAAGTATTAAGAGATCCAATTAAGAAGATTAGTTCTGAGTCTAAACCAGCCCAGAGTGGCTTCTCTAGGGGAAACTCCCTGCTCAGCGGGTACGTTTGTGTTTGTCATTAGGGACACCTTGAATCCCAGGTGCCTGCCTTGAGACATCTGCCTGTACTGGCTTCATGTTACACACATACCACATTTAATAACACTCCTGCTGTTATTTATAGGCTTAGTTATGTTAATCAGATTGTTTCACTGAGTTCTTTCTCATTCTAGTGGCTGGTGGTTGTGGAAAGAGGAGGGATTAGAATGGGAAGTTAAGTCTTAGTTTAAGGGAAGATTAGGTGTTATGCTATCATGCGTTGCTTTTCGCCTTTGTGCAGCCCTGAATCTGTGGAGGCTAGTCCAGCAGTTAATGAGAAGAGCGTGTATTCCACTCATAATTATGGGACCACTCAGAGGCATGGGTGTCGAGGACTGCCTTATGCTGTGAGTATGCATTTGTTTCTCTCCAGAGCAGTGATCTTCCTGGAGTGTAATCCATTCTTATACATTGTGACTTTCTTGAAATGTTTATATGCAGCATGATGAAGTTGCCCCTTTTGCACTTCCCTGCCTCCAGCGGACGTCTAGCCCTGCATCATTGTTCTTGTTTTTATGTCCCAGTTGACCTTGGCATTTTGTTTTATCACTTTCCTGGTTGAAGCCAAAAAACAAAGGGTACTACTTTCTTCTTTCTTTCCATATGTACCACACTTTAGGGGAGAGAGGGGCCAGTGTTTGGACACTGTTGATTTAAAAAATCTTATTTTCAGGATCATAATTACGGAGCCCCTCCTCCTCCGACACCTCCTGCTTCTCCCCCTGTCCAGACGATCATCCCTCGTTCTGACCTGAATGGCCTGCCGTCGCCCGTAGAGGAACGCTGTGGAGACAGCCCGAACTCTGAAGGAGAGACTGTTCCTACCTGGTGTCCTTGTGGTCTTTCTCAGGATGGCTTCCTTCTCAACTGTGACAAGTGCAGGTAAGATCCTGTTCCATCTAAATCCAAGCCTGGGTTGCTGGGGTTAGGATTTCTTATCAGTAGGGAAAAGCTCAAAGTATTCTTTCTTGTGTTTGTTAATGTAGATGATTCCTTAGTGCTCCTTGGCTCGAATTCTCTGCACTAGGTGAGAATTGCTGACAACAAGGAATGAGAGATTGATGTTAAAGCTATTGAATTTGATATGAAATTTAATGTCCTGGAAACATTTGGTAGGTGGGAGGAAGGGGGTAGTTTATGCAGAGACGCTTCTCCCATGTGTGCGATGATGTGCTGCATGCTGTTGGAAGGACTACTTTAAGTTTATTTTCCCTCTTTAGGGGAATGAGCAGGGGGAAGGTTATTAGACTTCATCGGCGGAAGCAGGACAACATATCAGGTGAGCAGAAGATGGGTTAGGCCCATATTTTGACATATACTATTTTGTGATTTTAATATTCATCCAAGAACCCCTCTTGTAAGTTCCCATGGTCCCCAGCTCTTCTAATGGAATGAAATTGAAGTCATCTCAAGACCACTGTGTAATTCTCTTGTTGTGAATTAAATGTATCTAGAATCAACATTTTAGCCCTGTAGTCATCCAAAATGTTCCTTGTGAGCACATGCACACACACATACACAAAAACAGTTCCTTTTCTGTTACATGTGCGTTGAGGTAATGAAGCTTGGGGGACTAAATACAAGGGGAGAAATACATGCAATGTAGAACAGGATTTGTGTGCTTAATTCCAGTGATATAGGAAGAATCTTGTATGTCCTACAGATGATAGAGTTAATACTAGAAGTAATGACTTGCTGGATATAGGCTAGATCAAAAGGAATAAGCTGCTTTTAAACCACATTTGAGGCTTTTTGTACGACGTGAACTATGAAATAACCTTTTTTCAGGTGGGGATAGCAGTGCAACAGAAAGCTGGGATGAGGAGCTTTCTCCTTCCACTGTGTTGTATACAGCAACACAGCACACACCTACAAGCATCACCTTAACTGTTAGAAGAACCAAACCCAAGAAGCGGAAAAAGAGTCCAGAAAAGGGTCGTGCAGCACCAAAGACGAAGAAAATCAAGGTATGAAGGGTAAAAGTATCTTATATAGAAATATGTCTGAAATAGCTCAAATTCTGAACTGAGAATGCACCAGAATTCTTTTTAGAAGTTTGATCCAGATGTTTGAAGGGCCACTTTTGCTCTACTTGCAAAAATCAGCTAATCTGTGTTACGAACATGTAGATCAGCCTCTCTTCTGCCACTCCATACCATCACAGCTGGCAAAAAGTTTCTTCTACTCCAACCCCCGTCCCAGGTATGAAATCCTAACCCCACCTGGCACAAGTCCGCGTGTGCTGCAGCCTCCGACCTAGCTTCCACCATCCCCGCCTCCTCAACCCCAGAAAACAGTCTGAAATTCTTGTCCTGGAACATGCCCACTTTGTGTCATTGGGTAGATTGTTTTTTCCTTGTTTCAAAAAAATTCAGGAAACATCTCTTGAATGGTGTAGGCTTACTCAGTGTCGTGGTCACTTTTCCTCTATTCTTAACTAAAAAGTCTCCAGGAGAAACCTCTTCTGTTTTGTATTCTTTCTTCCCCATCACAGCAACTTTGTTGCTCTAGGTGACTTGCCCACCCCTTGTTAAGGGGATTGGTCTTTGTTTCCTTCTTAATTTCAAAACTGGTAAATCGGCAACCTTACTTAACATTTTTGTTTACTTTTTCTTTTAGTGTCAGGGGTGCATATAGGACTTAAATGATGCATGCTCTTCCCTGTTAATTACTTAACTCCACGAGGAAAAGTATTGGCATTAGCCTCAGAGTTCACTGGCCTTGAGCTACCCCTATTCTTGATAATAGTACGGGGAATTCCATTGTATTTGTTACAATATAGGAAAAAGGGGACAGACTAGAATACTAGTTCCTGCCTTAGTTTTAGTTTCAGATAGGTATAACTGTCATTCTTGGTACCAAGTTTTGTTTTGTTCTACTTGTTTTCCTCTTTGGGATAGGCATTTCGAGAGGGATCCCGGAAGTCCTTGCGGATGAAGGTAAGGGGTATTCTTCCCTGATGCTGTGTTTTACTTCACTGTGATCTTGCATTTTGGTCAGCTTCTTTCTTGACATTGATGGTCTGGGAATCTTGGACTCTGCTTTTCGTTAGTTTGTAATTGTTGCCATTCAGTTTTCGTAGAGCCTTTCTCCAAAGTAGATTTTCTTGTCCATTTTCTGAAATATTTTCCCTTTCTGTAATCAGCCTTCATTTATTAGTTTTTCATTAGCTGCTTTTCTGGGGGAAGGGATAAGTGACTTTTTGTCAAACAAAGTGAGGCTGATGTTTTCTGTCATTGTGATTGACCTCAACCTCAGGCATGAAGTTTTTCTGGTGATACAGGATCTCTTGTTCACCCACCCTAACACCATGTGGGCTTTTTAAATCACCAGTTGGAAAGATAAATTGCATCACTAGGAAAGTATATTATTGATAAGAATTATTCTTACTGGAATTACTTATTTTTGAACTGTTTTCTCCTGGCATGTCTGTTTGGTATAGCATCAGGTGATGCTGGTGTGGTTCTTTTCTTCAGTTATCAAATAAAAGAGCTTATGAGACATGATTTTGGATAATGGTTGCAGGACAGAGAAATTATGTGCAGTGGTTTAAAAGGACTTTTAGTTACTGGGTGGTAAAAAAGAGTCTGCCCAAAGGAGATTTGAATATACTGTCTGGAATTTTCTTTTACCTGTGTGTGTGTATATATATATATATATATATATATATATATATATATATATATATATATAGGAGGACAGCTTACTTCCCAAAACATCACTTATGGCTTCAAAGAATTTAATTAGAATTAAGGTCTAATTCTAATTCTGTTAGTATTCATATGCCTAAATGTGTAAATGTCTGATGTTAAAAAGAACATAGGTGGCACTTTATCTAAAATTAAAGACCTTACCTTGCATATACTTATAAATAGATCTGTACATGTTTTTAAGAGATGGGAGAGGACTTAGAGCCCAAAACCATCAGAATCCTGGGGTGTCTTGAACATAATTATTTCTTTGCTGCATCTGTCTCCTGTAATGGGCCATTTGCTTAAATAGATTTATGGGGCAGACCTATCCCTGATCCCAGCTGTTAAGTAAGCCCCTTTTCCTTTTATCAGCTAAATAGTGTAACTTGCCTCCAAAGATTTGAAACCTTTTGAAAGCTATTGACTGGCTCTCCCAGAAAACTGTATGTAAACCCCATATATTGCTTGCAGTTTTGAGATGTTGACAGATAGCCCCATAAACATGTTAAAATTTAGATAACAGAAAAATACTAGTTGGTTTATTTTGATTCTCATCAGAATTCTAAGTTGATTTATAAATTTTGTACTCAGTAATTATTAGTAGGAACTCCACAAAAAAATCAGGAGCCATAAGAATGGGAAGAATCTGTTATTTGATTTTTAATCCCAAAGTTGAACTTCCCTGCTGGAGAATAATAGAGACTGCTTTGAACCACAGTTTCTCAATCTTGACACTTTATTTTGAACCAAATAATTCTTTGTAGGGGTCAGGGTTATCTTTTGCATTAGTCTAGGCTGTGTAGCAGCATCCCTGGCATTTACCCACTGGGTGCCAGTAATACATACCCAGGTGTGATAATCAAAGATAACTTCATAATTAAGTGTCTCCTTGATGGCAGAATCACCTCCGGTTGATAACCATTGCTCTAAACCCACTGAGATGGGGTCTCCAGTACCCAGAAGAATGGAATAGCAGAGTAGACAGAGTTACGTTAGTGAGCAATAGTTAAAAATATGGCAAAGGCTTCCACTATGCATTAAGTTTAACATGCCATAAGTCTGGTATCATTACTAGATGCTTAAACCTGGGAATACTGTTTGGACACCCCTAATCCTCAGTCTCATAGGCACCCTTAAGTCTCAGGTTTTGTGCTTCCCTTTTGCTCAGCTGCTGCTAACACCTCAAGCAGGTGGTATTCTGTTGCTCAGTGTGCTGACCTTAGGTGTTTCTTAGACCCCTTTGTTTATTGTTTGTCCTTTTGGACTCCAGTGATAAATGTGGGGAAAAGTGTTAATTGTGTTGTTAATTTTTTCCTTCCATTTCCCTGTTTCTTGGGGAAAGGATGGTAGACAACAGTCAATCAAAACTAATGACACAAAAGTGAAAGAAAGCAGTTGTCATAATGGCTATAAATGTTTTCTCTATCATTCATTCATGGAAAGTACGTTTGATTTTCTTATACCTGTCTTTGCAAGTTTAGAGTTGACATGAATTTGCAGATAGCTTTGGTACTCTAGTGCCTTTTCCTTCTCGTCATCACTAGTATGACATTATCACTGTCAGTGTTTGTTTTGTTTTCTGATGACACCTTAAGTCTTGAACACCACAGAGGAGAACATGTGCTTAAGCTGTGTGTGTGTTGCTCAAGCACATGTAAAACTGTTTAGGTTGCTGTTGCTGAGATATAAGAACCTTTCCTCAGTACTGTACTGTCACAAGAGGGCAGTGGTTTTGCTAGAGAAGTATAGCAGAGTACCTCTCAGCATTTCCTACATTCCACCTATCCATGCCTCTCCCCCAACCTCACCTCTTCAGAGTGTGGCTGTTTTAAATTGTCAAATAATTTGAGTGCTAGAAAAATACACTCCAAAGTGATAACTTTTTCTACAGGAGGCAAGTCACAGAGAAAAACCGTCCTGGAGAGTAGTAAAACTATCCCAGTTTGAGCTGGCATACTGATGTTTGATAAGTATTGAAATCTAAGCAATGTGATATTTTGAAGTGCCTCTATTGTTCATTTTTATGAAGATTTTCTTATGAACTTGATGTCATTCTTTTGATAAGCTTCATTTTTATGACTTAAAAGTGGTCATAAAATCACAGTGATAGGATGGAATTGCAATTTAAATTAATTTCTCACTTTATAGATGAGGAAACTGAGCCTCACAGCTCATTGTTAACTAAACCATAATAGAAGCCAGATCCTGACTCCCAGGCCATTACTCTTATGCCACACCACTGCCAAATGAAAACAAATTTTCTGAAACTCAGCCTGTTTTCTTCCTCCCATTTTAATGCATGAACTCTCCTAACCTACTTGACCTTTGTTCTCTACAGAATTCTCCTTCTGAAGCACAGAATTTAGATGAGAATACAACTGAGGGATGGGAAAATCGGATAAGACTATGGACTGATCAGTATGAAGAAGCCTTCACTAATCAATATAGTGCAGATGTACAGAACGCCCTTGAACAACATCTACATTCTAGCAAGGAGTTTGTGGGCAAACCTGCTATTTTAGACACTATTAATAAGACTGAATTGGCCTGTAATAATACAGTTATTGGTTCCCAAATGCAGGTAAGGATCAAAGGGTTAAAGACTCTTTAAATAAGTAGTTGAGATTTTAAAAACCCAAGAAGAGGACATATTTTGGAATCAATGTTTCTTTCAAATGTATAAGGCCTTAGAATAATGAATTAGCCAGCTATTCAGCATCTTTAACCAAAAGCAGATTATAGTAACTAGAAACTGTTCAGATACATATTTTTGAACTATATATCTTTATTAATAAAAATAGATAAATTAGGAGATTTTATACAGTCTCACTGGGCATTAATAAGATTAATAGAAAGCTTAGCTAGTACTTTCTGATTCTTACATAAAAACTAGAGCCACTAAAATCTTAATCATACCTTTTTCTTTGATTTTTTTCTTTTTCTTGCCTGGGGGTTGTAGAGGTAACAGTTTTACTAGATGGAGCCTGTTTCCTAGAAAAACTAAGGTTTTGTCAAATTTTAAAATGTCTGATCATTGAGCTAAATAACTTACAAATAAAACCTAATAATATTGATGCCTTTTCCTCAATTGGGAAATATTTTAAATGTCCACTAAGCTGCTGTTGATATTATCTAATGTTAATATTCTGGTTTTACTCAGCTACAGTTGGGAAGAGTCACTCGTGTTCAGAAGCACCGGAAGATCCTGAGGGCTGCAAGAGATTTGGCTTTGGACACTCTTATAATAGAGTATCGAGGCAAAGTCATGTTACGGCAGCAGTTTGAGGTCAATGGGCATTTCTTCAAAAAGTAAGAACATCATTCATTGAGCTTAGGGCTAAAGTGGGTCTGATTAAGCAGTATGGGTGTAAAAAACCATCCAGGCTGATAGAATTCTCTTGGGGGAAAAGATTACAGCTCAAATAAGCTCATGCCTGCCTGCGATTTATAAAGAAGTACAAGTAAATCTGCAAATTGTTTAATATGTGAAGTGGCGGTGATTCCTTTCCAAGCCAAGCATTCCTTGCTTTGTGCTTGTTCTTTAATCAAAAGCAGACAAGCTTGTGATATTTTCCAAGTTTAGGCATTGCAAAGGACTGCTGCTGCTTCTGTCAGCATATGCTTCATATTTGAAATCATGGGGTGGCCTGTTTATTTGTGTTGAGAATTACAGGAATTTTAATTATATCCCTAGACCATACCCCTTTGTGCTCTTCTACTCAAAATTCAATGGTGTAGAGATGTGTGTGGATGCACGTACTTTCGGTAATGATGCTCGGTTCATCAGAAGATCGTGTACACCAAATGCAGAGGTAAGATTTCTATAGCAACTTCTCTTTGAATGGAACCACCAAAAGGACAAGTCAACTGAAGAAGCAGTCTGAAAACTTCACCCAGATTAAGGTCTGTAGGTAATGGTTATCATCTTTCATTGTAAGAGATAAAAAACAAAAATATGATAATTTTATTCTGATATGATGGGGGTAAGAAACGGGTTTTCTTTAGAGGAAGTGGAAAGGGAAAAAAGCAAGTTAGCATTTGCTAAAGAGAAACAGCTAGACTGGATAAGAAGTCAATGAGGTTGTATTAAAGAATTGCTGTGTGAAAGAAGATGATATCATTGGGCCAAAAGTAAGATGTGTGGTTGTGGTTTTTTACATTTTAGGTAATAGAATTATAAGAGAGATTCTAGATGTTTCTAGAGTTCATTACTCAGTGCATAATAACTGCAACCACATCAAATGCCGCATGACAATCCACAGAGCTTTCATTACAGACCAAGGAATTTTAGTTTTCTGGTGCTCCTGAAAACAGAGCAGTGATCTTACTCTTGATTGCTAATGTCTCAAGATTTCTCCATTTATTTCAAGAAGTATCATAAATTTTCAAACTATTATTATATGAAAGTTAAAAATGAATTGATAGAGTTAAATAGCAGGCTACCTTGACTAAGTGGGAAATATTTGGGTGAAAGGTTTTTTTCCCTTTTGTGAAAGTTCCTGGTCTTTATGATAAACCATAAATAACCATGAGCCTGTTCCCACAGGTGCGACACATGATTGCAGATGGTATGATTCACCTGTGTATTTATGCTGTGTCTGCCATCACCAAGGACGCCGAGGTCACCATAGCGTTTGATTATGAGTACAGTAACTGGTAAGACCGCCACAGCTTTTCCTAACATGAATGGCCTTTTCTTATACATTAAGCATTCCATTAAGTCGACTTTTATTCCTTGCCATTTCCTTCTCTTTTTTTCTGCCTAATCTTTCCATGAGTAATGCATTTGCTGCCTAGAAATTGTGGAGGAAGAAGAGACTGAGGTCTTTTTTCAGAGACATAGGTTTATAGTGTGACACTGCTCACCAGTCTCCTAACCATTTGGCTTATGCCTGTGTGTAGCAAGAATAACTAAAAGAGTATGTATGAGACACTTCTAGAAATCGCAGGAGCATCTGTTATTATATAGCACTTGTGCCGTAAATAAATCATATAGAATGAGGATTTAAAGATTCACCCCATCCACTTAAATCGTGTAAGCTAGCAGTGTATGACGATGCAGAAAAACAGGTAGCAAGCCATAGCTGACTGTGTGATTGGTTTTGTAAAATGGATGCTTTTTTTCCCTTTTAGGCAAAAAGGGTTATGTGGCAAATTGATTTTCTGCACAAGTGCAAGAAGAAAAGTTACTAATATTAAGTAGGGAAATCAGTAGGCAAGAGTGAGGACATGGTAAAGATAGACATGAGATAAGTACGGCCACTGCAGACTGATCACTGATTCACTGCCCACTACATAGCATAAAGACAGTTGGGAGAATTGAATTTAGTGGGGATTTTTTTTTCCTTTCCACTGACCATATATAGAAGAGTTGAGTTATAAAGAGAAACATAGAATATTTAAAGTATTCATAGGACTCTAATATATCTGTTTAACTTATTCAAAGATAATATCAGAGGAAATTACTATCCTAATATTTCAAGAGAATGAATGGCTAATATAACTGATTTTCAAGGGTACTGAGACAGGCACTTTTGGTTGTTTCTTTGGAGCAGTAATTATAAAGTGGACTGTGCATGTCACAAGGGGAACCGGAATTGCCCTATACAGAAAAGGAATCCCAATGCTGCAGACCCTCCACTCCCACCTCCTCCAAGCCTGCCCACCATCGGAGCAGAGACAAGACGGAGAAAAGCACGACGGAAAGAACTAGAGATGGAGCAGCAGAATGAGCCTCCCGAAGAGGAGAACAACCAGCAACCAGAGCAAATTCCTGAGAAAGTAACTGTATCCAGCGACCATGAGGTAATCTCCCCTGGTCAGAGGGTGTTGCTATGGTGTTGATCCTCTCCAAGTGAAGAGGATGCTGGGTTGCCACATGCTGTTTTATATAGGGAATCTATAGTAACACTTAATACCCTTCATATCAAGGTGGGTGTGCATTCATTATTCTCTCTATTTTTTTAATACACTGTCAAGAACATCCTTTCAGGTACTTTCCAAGTTTCAGTCTAGAGAATGGGATTTGCCATCTGTGTTTACCATGTGGCCCCCCCATGAGTAACTCTATAAAGCACTAGAAGTTGGTTCTAGAGAGTTTTAAGCTACCAGAAAAAAATAGGGATTGATTTTTTTCTAGAGCTTAAGAGTACAGCTGAGTGGTGCCTCTGTCTTAAAGGAAATAGACAATCCAGAAGAAAAAGCAGAAGAGGAAAAAGAAGAGGTTACAGATGACCAAGAGAACCCAGCTCATGGCAGGAGGGTGGGTACCTTTTTTTGTTTCTGCTGATTCCTTCTACCTATAGCATGTGAACCCCTTCTGTTCTGAATTTGTGTCATCTCATTTCTTCAGTGAGATACTATACTATCACCTCTAGGTTTCAACTTGGTCTTTTTCTATAAAGTAGATTTCATTACAATTTTTACACGCTCACGCACATTACTCTCTAGTGGCCATTATCTCATGATGGCTTTAAGAGGTTTCTTACTAACAATCTGGTTTCCAAAAAAAATCTTGTCAGAACAAAATGCTTGGGCTACTTGCTCTCACTTAGAAACTTCGTAAGTTTATATGAATTTTGACATCTAAAAAAAAAACCTTCAGTCATATGGAGTCAGAAATTCTAATTTGTGGCAGAAACCAGTTGTTTATTTCTGCCCCTGAGAAGTTGTTCAAGAAAATCTACTTGGCTTTTTTTGAACCCTGAAAGTACAGAGAAGAATTGGTATTGATGGCTGTTTTTCTTTTGTATTAAAAAGTTTCAAAATAGATGAACTTTTTTGAAAAGTTTGGGTTCGACCTTGCCTTCCTTCACAACTCTTTCCAACATTTAAAATGAAACATTTTTAATTTTTATGTTATGTTCCCCAAGATATATGTATTATCTTACTGGTAGTTTCTGTAGATGTCTATAAATTTCTGTTAATAATACTTCTGAAAAACTTCCCTTCTCCTAATTGAGGCTTCCTTCTATGCTAATGTTCCTTTCTAGACCCGGGAAGATAGGAAGGTTGAAGCCATCATGCATGCTTTTGAAAACTTAGAGAAAAGAAAGAAGCGGCGGGATCAGCCCTTGGAACAAAGCAGCTCTGACATAGAGGTCACTACTACCACCTCAGAGACTCCTGTGGGAGAGGAAACAAAAACTGAAGTCCCTGAACCTGAAGTTAGCAACCCTGCTTCAAATATTGTCATCCCAAGCACCCCGCAGACTGTTGGAGTGAACACCCGGAGGTCTTCCCAAGCAGGGGTAAGGTGAAAAGACTCTAGGCCTTAGACGTTCTTCATTTTGCTAATGTCAGTTACCTATATTTTGGAATGATCAGAATCAGCATTTCTGGCTTTGCCTTATATTGCAATAAATAAGGCTATTTTCAGTCATCTGATTTGTGAGATTCAGGGAGACATAATTTGAATGACTAGATACTTTCAGACTATAATGGAACTTTCACTGTTTCTGCCAGATAAATTGTTGATGGTGAATTCATAAAAATCATTTGGCTTCTCTATGGCCCTCTATATAGCACAGTTACGCACCTGACCTTTCATATGATTCTCAGAATTAACTAATCATTCCTTTTCCTACCTACGCTGGCCATGAATTCTAAACCTTAAGCTAAAACCTTAGTATCTGGGGGGAAAAAAAGAGGAGAATTAATCTTCTCTGCTAAGAACCCTAAAATTAGGTGGCAACTTTCACCTGACTTTTGACCTGTTTTACAAATACTTGCTAGAAAAAAAATAACTGAGACATCTTCCTATAGCCTCTTTAGCTTATTTAAGTGTATAGATTTTTGTAAGGATTACATCTGAAATTAATGTTTTTAAATGGTCACTTTTTTCACCAGTAAATACTCAAAATGCTGAAAGTGAATAGGAAACTGGGTAGAATGTTGGTGTTAAAAAATTTCTGGTAAGCCATTAACTTTGCTCTTGTTACAGGATGTTGCTGCAGAAAAACCAGTCCCCAAACCACCTCCAGCAAAGCCCTCTAGGCCCCGACCGAAGAGTCGAATTTCTCGGTACCGGACCAGTTCAGCCCAAAGACTAAAGCGTCAGAAACAGGCCATTGCACAGCAGGCAGAGTTGTCACAAGCTGCCTTGGAAGAGGGAGGAAATAACAGCTCAGTAACTCCTACTGAAGCTGGAAATACAGACAGTTCAGGAGAAAACAGACAATTAACAGGGTCTGACCCAACTGTGGTATCAGTTACTGGATCCCACGTCAACCGTGCTGCATCTAAATACCCCAAAACCAAAAAGGTAAGTTACAAATACATCTTCATAAGTATCGTCTGGCAAAGGCTGTGGCTTAGTAAAGTGAAAGGACCTGTAATCTCCAGAAGAAAAACAAGTAGTCTTAAGTATTATTAGACTGATAGTTTTAGATAAAATGCTTAGATGCGTAGGGCTAAGGCCATCCCGCTACCTTACTTTTGTTCCCATAGTTTTTAGGCAGAGTTTAAATTGCTGCTAGCTGAAAGTATTCCTCCTGTAGTGGTCATGGAGAGGGTGAAAGAAGATACGCTCGTGCTCTAAATGCACAGTACATACTCTGCAGCTGCGGAATCTACCTCTGTCCTAGTTTCTAGATGAGGTTTGTCTTCATGAGCCACACTGCTGCCCCTGACTTTTACATCTGCAGCATCAACTGACAATCTCTTTTTTTACCTTAGTATCTAGTTACAGAATGGTTGAATGACAAAGCAGAGAAGCAAGAATGCCCTGTTGAGTGCCCTTTACGTATCACCACGGACCCAACTGTACTGGCAACGACCCTGAATATGTTACCCGGTCTTATCCATTCCCCGTTAATTTGCACCACCCCCAAACACTACATTCGCTTTGGCTCGCCCTTTATCCCTGAGAGGCGTCGAAGGCCGCTTCTGCCTGATGGCACATTCAGCTCCTGTAAAAAGGTATGTCTGTGTTTACGTGGTTTGTTTTTTGGTTTGGGAGGATTTTGTTTGTTTGTTTTTTCTTTTTAACCTAGAGTGCCTGTAATCATGACGTATCTAACACATTCTCTAGACAGCCACACTCTGCCTTTGTCAGTTTATAATGAGTTAGTTCTTCAGCCATGAATGCTGTTGCATCCAGAGTCGGTGAGACTAAGGTGGGATGTATGCTGCATTTCTGGTGCTCAGTTTGTGAGTATTCACTGTTGTCTTTTCTGCGAGCCCTTGCCGTTACTGAGTTGAGAACACACAGCAGTTGGTGACTGGGTAGGGAGGGACATTCTGTTTGTGCTCTTGTGTATTGGTTAACATGTCCATTTGTGATTATTGAGTGAGATTGGGCCCCAGGTGCTCTAGAGCCCTGTTACACGGGTTTAAAAATGATCAAATTGTGTTTTGAATTAATTCATTTGCTGTTATCATTTGAATGAGAGCAGAAGAAAAATCCTATTACCATCAGCATAGTTTCTGTTCCTTGATCAAATGACAAGTTGGACCATTTGTTTATTCCCTAGTACTTTGGAACTCACTGTAAAATCCCCCCCACCCCTCTCTCTGCCTTTCTCTCCTCTCTCTAGTTATATTTTGTTTTTGGATCTAGTGGCAGTAGTATTTGATGGTGGTTTGTTTTTGGAATGCTCTTTCCTAATTCCCAGAAGTCCTGCATATTTTCCAAAGGTGTCTCTCAAGAACAGATCACTCCCTCAGACCTATAATGTCATTTTTGTATTTCTAAAAGTATAGGACATCATTTCATTTGGTCTTCCTTTGAGGTAGAGTCTGTTCCCTGGAACACCCTTTTCTCTTATCCTCAGATCTGGATTCAGGCTGCCTTCCTCAGTGTCTGCCATTGCCCTCCTCCACTGGCATCACGTACATGAGGATGCTGCATGTAGATTATTTGATGTGATGAAGTCTCCAACTCCAGGCAGGTCTTCCCTGACTCCTCCAAACTTAAAGCTTTTCTCTTCTCCCAAAGAGCAGATATTATTTCTTGGGGGGAGGGGGGCATGAAAGATGAGCCAAAATGGTGTGGGATATGGAGGGGGAGGAGGGCAGCAGGGATCTGTGCACAAAGGAAGGGCACTACACTGAATGAGCAGCAAACACTGAAGAAAGTCTTCCTAACTGCACATCTTACCTAAGTATTTGAGTCACATACTGGTTTATTTGGGGAAAATTCCCAAGTGGAATGAATCCTAAAGAGAAATATGACCGTGAGATATTTGCTGAAAGGGCTTGTGTATAATGGCATAACGTGACTAACTTTCAGGGTTTAGAAATGAAAACAATGACAGCTATCTTAAGACAAAAATAAGTCTAGAAATTTGCCTGAATGATAAAGGAGGGTTGGGTCTCTGAAGATACTTTTTTCCACTAAGTCCCTTATCCTGGATCTTACAGATTATCTGAGAAGGAAAACAAAGTATTTGCCATTTAATGAGCATTATAATTAGCCTTATTCTGTAATAATTGGAGAGTTGCATTAACTCTGGTATGGCATGCAGAACTAATCTTCCTATTGTACTTAGCTCAGTCCCTCATTAAGAGTAACAGCTCAAAATCTCAACTACATTTTCATAGTATTGAACAGTTAGAGAAGCTGTAAATATGGTATTTAGCTTGGAGGAGCAAGTCGAGAGATGGCTTAATATATATTTGAAAGAAACTTTCCTTTTGTTCTGTCTTTGGCTGGACATAGTACTGGACTTCATAGGATGTTCACTGTTGAAGTGTCTAATTAAGGCAGATGCTAGAATTTCTTATTTTGGTCCTTTAAGTAGGGTAAACAGTCTAGTACAGGTTAATAGTGAACTCTGAATTGCAAATAGTATGGGCTAGCCTCTTTGAATGCTGCCTTGATGATTCTAATGCCAGATTACAGTCTTTATATTCCCATCTTGCTTTTTTTCAAGTAGCAGAGTTCCGTGAAAATCAAAAATATGTACGAATATGACTTCATATCTGATATAAGTCCATTTCTTGGAGCTCTTTTTACTTGGTTATGATTTAGAACTTGTATCTGTATCACATCTTTGTGTCCCCACTGGCAACAGTTAGAAATCCCATTTAACTCATATCCATGTAATGTTCTCCTAGTGTATCTGACCATCCTTAGTCTTGTTTTATACACACTGCTCTTTTGTCTGTGTCGTATTAGTTTTTTGGAAGAGTTCAGGCTAAGTATGCTGAATTATAGCAAAGTTACCTTACTTAAATTGAGTCTTTTTAAATTGTTTAAGTTTAAATCATAGGTTTAATATTTGCTGTTAACATAATCAGGATTATATTGCAAAACAAGAATATGGCTCTTTATGAGGCAAAATTAATGAAATTGGGTCTTATTAGAAATTGAACTCAGTTTTATCCTGGGTGGGGAGGGAAACAAGTTTTTAGATTGTTTAGAAAGTATTCTTATAGTTCAGATTTCCATTATTAAACAAAATTATAAATTTCTAAAATCCATAAGAGAGGAAAATAAGTTAAACATACAGATAAGAACAACCATCCTCCATGTGATTAGTTCAAGCAGTGTATTCCTAATAGGCTTCCTCTTTTATATCTGATTAAAGGAGGTAAAGGCTTCATGAGTTAAACACAGTGTAAAGTTGCATATGTATATTTGCACCTAGATTCTTACAGAGTATTTGACAGAACGCAACAAGCCTGTTATGGTATATCTTTTGTTGGATTTTACTTTACTTGTTATTTTGGAATGGAAACATGTATAAGTGGCCAACAGGCCTTTCATTAGTCTCCCTCCTTGTTCTCTCTAAATCTCTAAACTTAACGTTGTAGGCATGATAAGTCTGAGGCATTTGGTTTCCCATCCCAAATGAAAATGAAACACTGCTTTGCATTGATATTTCATTATTTACACTGTAGGATTATTCATCTGTGTATCTCTATGCACAGCACAGAAATTCAGTTGAACAAGTCCTCACTGAGCATGTGTGCTCAGTACTGTGCTACAAGCTTTCTTCACAGGCATCTCACTTAACCATTCATGACAACCCTGTAAGGTGATTATTGGTTTCAATTTACAGATCAAAAACTTTGGCTCAGAACTGTTCAGGAACTTGCCCAGAGTTAGGCATCTAGTAAGAGGCATGGCCAAGTTTCAGTCCAGATATTTAGATTCTAAGACATAAAGTAGTTTCTTGCTCTTTCCCTATCATAAAGACAATTCTCTGGCTATCTCTAAGCTTCCAAAAAAAACCTCTTCAACAGAGTTTCAGAGAAGGAAGAAACGTTCTTTTGACTTTAATACTGTAGCTGGAACTTGGAGAGATTGTCTAAAGTTAATTTGTTATCCATAGGGGTGATTGGAACTTGTTAGATACAAACAAATGTTCATGTTCCTTCTTTACAGGCTCTAAAATATTGTGTAGACCTACAACAGAGCCAGGAGGAATGAATTTGATCATGTTGCTGTGTTCAACCTTAACCTAACCTGAGCAGCATCTTATTCCTTAGAATGCTCCTGTCCTGGTTTTATTTTCCCTTTTTGTAGTCATCAGTTCCAGAATGTAAATTCTTTTATGGGTGCATCTACTTGACACTGGAAATATAAGAAATTAACTTTTCTTGGAGGAAAGTACAGTGACTCCAAATGAGTCCTGCCATCTGCTCTGAAAAGAAAAACTTGTACTAAGATATCTATAACAAAGGGTTTTCACTTATTTTGTCCTCCTGGGCCTAATGTTCCACATCTGTATAGGGAATGCTTAGGCCAAGGTGACCTCTGAAGTCTCTTCTAAGGTGTAGGGAGCATGGTTCTGACAGTTCATCTTTATATCAATATTCTGTATGTAAAACAGTTCATTCTTGGTCTTGTTTTGGCTTTTCAGAGACCTGGTCATATCCTGAAATACTGATGTGATTCAATTGACTGTTAAAATCTCTCTTTTAGATACATATTCACTCTTAACTCCTTCCACGCTTCTTACACTTTTAATTATATTTTTGTTTTTGTTTGGCAGACCACAATGCCATTTATATGATGTAAAAGTTTTTTTGGTGAAATTTTCCTCACATTATTTCCTAAGTTCCTAAGAGGGTAATAAATCTGTTAGAATTGCTCTCTTTGGTAAAGAGATTATTTACTTACCTGTAATACTTGTTCTCTAAAGGTGTAAAGTTATAATCACCTTTGCTCTTCCTATTTGGGGTAGGGTCTGATTTAGACATTGATGTTTATCAAAATTCGATCTGTCTTATGTCAGGGCAGGAGAGCCACAGAGTGGTGAGCAACCTACAACTGTGTATCTTAAGAGAACACAATTACAGGTAAGAAATTTTCTCTCTTCCACAGGATACATAGTCTTATTATCCTAATCTTTGCAGACTTACTTTCTGACCTAAATTTGTCTCCATTATTTTAGATTCCAGTATTCTGTACCAAAAAAATGTGACTGATTAGAGAGCTCTTTTTGACTTTTTCCCATTTTTGATTTCTGTAGAAGGTCATTTATTCTGGATATTTGTATTATTCATGCAAAATTTAACCAAGCTAGTTGATGGGGTGAAAAAACTTACGGGATAGTCCATCTGAGAGTAGATCTTTTGGAAGTATTTTGGTACTTGTAGTGAAGAGCTGTTTATTCTTATCCAGAGTTTTCCTGTGAGTCTTTTCTGTTATGTCTTCAGATATCCCCAGCACAGGGCAGACAACTCTCAAGAGAGCGTTTATCTTCCTTCTACATCCTTATTTTATATATTAGTTTTATCCTATATGATCAGAGTCTCTTAAATAAGGGCTAAGATTTCTTACTTATCTTTTCCCATTTATCCCATTCTAAGCAATATGAAAAGTTGAACAGTAATCTTTTTTTATTGGTTGGTTTTTTAATGGCAATTCATTATGTGTAATCCAGGCTTTCTCAGTTATGCCCTATACAAGGAATTAATGGGGCAGAATTCTAAAATGTTGAAACACAGGACAAAAAATAACTTAACTATGGACCTGAATGGAATGTGTTGGATTGCATCTCTCACCAGTTCGATATGTAATGACCTGGTTAATGCATTTAAATAGGTGTACTAAATAGCTTTAAATGATGCTTGATAATTCTTTGGTTCTTTTCCCATTACAGCGCTGGATAAAGCAAGCCTTGGAAGAAGGGATGACCCAAACATCATCTGTACCCCAGGAGACTAGAACTCAGCACCTGTACCAAAGTAATGAGAATAGTAACTCGTCTAGTATCTGCAAAGACAATGCAGGTAGGTATCTCAAACCTCTCTGAATGCATGAACAGTGATTATTTTGGATTTACATTAAAAATTCCACTATGAATACTTAAAGAGTCTGATATAAAAAAGAAATAGCATTGTTCTCTAAATAGTTACTTTACATCTGTCTTTACAGAGGAAGAGAGAGATCTCAAGTCAGGGATCAGTTTCCCCAGGACGACAAAGAAGGAACTAGACAGTGTACAGATAACAGCAGAAATGGTTGTAAAAAGGTTAGATACATTTAAAATAGTAAGTTTAGGAAATCTATATCCATATTTATAAGAGGGGAAATAAGCAGGAAAGATGTGGGCACTCTTCAGGAGAATCAGAATCATAGGTAACTGAACTGGGAGGGACTTGGCTGAAGGGACAAGGGATGGGTGACGAAAATGAGAAATTGTTATGAATCGGTTGTTTTCAAAAGGGCTTGCGCAGTTTCTCCTAGCCAATACTAGTTTAATTGAAAATCCTCTCTGTTTTTCATAAGTTTATCTCTAAATCAGTTTTGTGAATATTACAATCAAAACAAAACACCAAAATACATTAAGATGCCAAAGGTCATGCAAGGCTATAGCTAACATGATAATATTTCGAGTTTTCATAAAAACCACTTATTACTGTTCGTTGCCTTTCTGAGTGAATATGAACTTAAAGCGATTGGTACTGGTAATACCTGCTTTGTATTAAAATTCCATATATAATACTGTATTTAGAAAAAAGTAGGCTACTAAAAATACTTCTTTCAAGTTATTCACTTAGTTTATTCTTCTGTCCCTGGATTGGATTATGAATTATTGCATGTGTAACGTTAGGATAATAAACTCCCAGTGTAGAACATCTGGAAGATAAATGATACCTTGTATTTAAAATATGTTACTCTCTTCTTCACCGAAGATTAGGGAGATTTACTCAAACTAGGTTAATATGAAAAATTACTGGCACCAGAGTTCCACCAGTATTAACAGTTTATTGGCAGCTTTTACAATATAGTGAGAATACAACTTAACTGAAGTCTTCTGTCTAGTATACACGCATAGGTGTGTGTATGTGTTTGAATTTGGGAAAGGGAGGCTGTATTAGCAATTCGTGTCCTGACTGGCAAAGACTTGGGGAAAATGCCCTTGTTACTGTGTGCCCTGGTTGGAATGGTGACTGTTAGTCACCAGCCTTTATTGAATTTCTTGTCTCTAGCAATGAGAAACATCCAAAGGACACACCTTGCCTTCTAGAAGCAACATAAACAGAGAAAAATATTTAATTAAAACCAAGCAGGACACTAATGCAACTTGATATATTGCTACAAGTCAGTGTAAATCCTGAGGAATTATTTATATTTTGTTTTGTTTTGTTTTGTTTTTCAAAAAGATCAAGGAGATCTTAAGAAAAGGAGACAGATTGGTGTAGTAGAAAGAATCCAACAGACCTGAATTTGAAAACTAGCTCTACCCTTTACTAAGACTATATGATGTTAAGCAGGTTACAAAACATCTCTGAGCCTCATCTGTGAAATGGATATAGTAATACCTGCTTTATAGTTTTAATGTAAGATTAAATTAAATAATGTACATAAAGTGCCGTATCAGACCCTTAATAGGAATTATTACTGTCATTATTCTTCATAAAATTCTTTCTTGTCAAGGGTTTATGAAACAGTTATAGAAATTAGTCAGATACTAGGATATGTTAAAGATTCTAAGTTCCTAAAAGCTAAAGTTGTATAGAAATAAAAGGTATTACTATTCAGGTAGGAGAGCACACAGTGTTCATTATTTGTAAATTCTGTGAGTGTATAGCTAGGAGAGCCTGACTAATCAACTGAAAAGCTTAATGAACAAGAGTTCAGTAAAACCGCTGGGTATGCACAAATTAATAGCATTTACGTACTGAGGAAATGAATGAAGCGAAGTTTTTCATTCCCAAGCTTAACAAAACTAAGAAACTGGTTAGGAATAGTGGTGAGACATGTAGAACAAACCGTCACTGAGAATCGTTTTTTTAAGCTTCTAGGAAATGAAGAGAAATCCCATGTTCCTTAATGGAAAGAATAAATATAATCAGTTTCTTTCTTGGCTTCATATGGTTTATATCAAACTAACCTGTTTTTGGAATTTGATTAAATGATTTTGAAGTTTATCCTTAAAAAAACGAAAATAAGAAAAAATTTTAAAAGAGTGATGATGAAGTACTTTACCTAGAAGTAAAAAAACTAGCTTCTAATATGAAGCCAGAAGCTCGTAATCAAATTAGTACAGTAGTGTATAAGAATGGTTATATATATGTAACAGAGTAGCCAGAAACAGATCTTAATAATCTGCTTTATAGTGCTAATTGAAGATAAGTGAAAGATTAGGTAAATTATTCTGGTTATTTTTACTTACTTAGAGGATTAAGAAGAATTAGCCTTTTGCCAAAGTAAATTCTTCGCACATTTAATTTTTTTAAATCAAACTTAAATAAACAGTGTTTCTGTCTTTATTTAATAGAGGACAAAAGTTTTTGGATAAAGGATTTGCAGTAAAAATGATAGGAGAATAATAGCCCTACTAGCAATTTGGTAAGATTTATCATGTGCATTAAAAATATTCACACTCCCTAACCTAGTAATTACTGTTTTAGATACTTGTATAGAAGTAGGTGCGGACCAAAATTTTAGTACAAAGTGTTAGTCATAGAATTATTAATAATTGCAAGTACATATAGGATAAAAACAACCTGGGTTTCAGCCAATAAAGGAATGGTAGATTCTGTGGTTTATCTTGTATTGCACATGCTTTTAATGGGATACTATACAGTCGTATTAAAATTTTTACTCTTGATTTGTTTTATCGAATTAACTTACCCCCTCCCCAAAACACAGCATAGTACTACTTTTGAATTAGATTTCAGTGATCTGTATCTTGAATCTTGTGAGAATATTAAAATAATAGTGTATTATGACCAAATAAAAATTTTCCTCAGAATATAAGGGTGACTCAATATTTGAAAATGTATTCATATAATTTATTAGCTAGCGAATGGAGGAGGGGGAAATCAGCAGAGTAAATGTGAATTTAATGATAAATCTAATAAAATAACACACTTAATGATATTTTCTTTTACATCTACCTGAAAACAATTGCTAGTTACGCTTCATGGTAAAAACTAGTTAGATTAAACCTTAAGATGGGTTATCATCCCACTATTGCCATTATTATTTAACAACTTAAAGAATTATTATCCAAAATGATTAGGATGTATGTGTTATCACCGTATACAAATAATATGCTTATCTACCTGGGAAAGTCAAGAAGATTAACTGAAAAAATAGTAGAGATCAATAGGGTAGCTGGGTACAAAATTATGTAAACATTGTCTTATATGTTAGCAGTAACATTTAGGTAATATAAAGGGAGAAATCCATTCAGTTCACAGTAGTAACCAAAAATAGAGAACACTGGAAAGTAAATCTAATTAGGAATGTAGCAAATCTATGATAAAGAGGAATATAAATGAAAGCATGAGTAGCTGATAGATCATGCCATGGTGTATGAGAATTCTCCACAAATTACTCATGAATTTAATACAACCCCAATCAGCCTTTTTTTTTTGGTGTCGGGGTAATATCAGCAATAGTTGACAGATCATTTCTGCATTCATTGACATGAACAAGTATGCTAGAATAGGCAAAATATTTTGGAGAGCTAGAGTAGCAAAACCAGAACTGCCCAAGTAGATGTACTAAAATTAAAATGCATGTCAATATTGATGCCATCTGGACAGCAAGTGTACAGGATACCATTCAGAACTAAACCCAGTACCTGTCTTATTTTAAATCAGTGGAGAAATTGTAATTATTCTATAATTACAAAAGGATTTGGAAGAATATGCTACACATTTGGCATGTGAAAAGGATAATCAATAACTTATCATAAAAAATGTTCTATTTGAATTAAATTCAGAAATTAAATACGAGGGGAGAGGGTATAGCCCAGGAGTAGAGTGCAGGCCTACTATGCATGGGGTCGTGGGTTCAATCTGTAGTACCTCCACCAAGAGTAATAAATAAATAGATAAACCTAACTATCCCCCCCAAAAAAAAAATTTTTTAATAAAAATAAAATTTTTTTAACTTAAAAAAAACAAAAACTAAATACGGATATAAAGGGAAAATAGCCCAGTATTTTTACAGTCTTGGGGTAGGGTGACATTAGTGATGTCAGTGGCAGAAAATAAAGGAAACGACTGATAAATGTGAGTAAAGATACACATCCTGTATAGCCAAAAAAGGCTACTAGTAAAATTAAAAAATAATTGTAACGTTTTCGTCATTGTCATGGAAAGAGTTTTACTATATATTTCTGAGTAAAAATAGTAGGTTATTGATCAGTGTGATTTAGACAAGAGTCAGTAAGGCCCTGTCAAGAAAGAGATCTAAATGAAAATTCACCAGTATATTAGCAGTGCATTAATTTGTGGGTATGACTTTAAGTTATGTATGTGTTTCAGTATGTAGATGTTTGTTTATATAATATTAGGAATTATTTGAATAAAGGTTAAAAAAACATAAAAGATAGATTTTAACCACTTGAAATTTGACAGCTGTGTATGCAAAAAGAAAAATGAAATTTGGAAAAAAAATTATAAATATAGTGCTATTAATAGGAAAAAGGCAAATATCCACTGGCATATAAACTTCAGGTCAGTTTTGTTGAATATAATATCATAAATAGGTTCTCAGTAAATCTATTTTAAATGAGTGGCCTGCAAGTTGATTTGGGGGTGGAAGAGTTCATCTGATCTTTCTAACTTCCCTACAATGAACTTCATCATTTACATAATTACCGTTAGTAGTTACAGTGTTGGACCTTGCAGTATAGTCTTTTCAAAGATTCACCAATTAAGACTCCTGAAATATGTAAAAGTTATTCTAAATATAAGTCATGAATCACATTTGTTTGTTTTATACCTAGGCACTTTTCAAAAGGAGAAAAGAAAAATAAGACGGAGAACTTAGTATCTGGAACAAAAGGAAAATATGGATAATACTTCTAATCTAGGAAACTTAAAAATTCTCAGATACCAGGGAAAATATGTATCTCCAGTATTTTTTGCATTTATTTCTTCCCTATTTCAACATCTACTGCCCCAGTTCAGTACTCATAACTCCTTCTGTTCAACTACTCCACTAACTCCAGACAGTTACCCATTCCAATCTCATCCTAACCATTCCTGCCAGGGGACCCTTCCTGAAGCATAGCTCTGATACTGTCCCAAACTTTTCCTCAAAGGCTTGGGATAAATGTCAGTCCTTCCATCAAGCTCTGGGCATATAATTGAACTTTATGACTAAGAATGTAGATGGGAACTAGATTACCTAGTCTTTACCTCTCTTATACTTCAAGTCCTTTATCTTTAAAATGGGGATAATAATAATAACAGTGATGAGTTCATAGTTATTCAAGTTAAATCTGAAAATTCATGTAAAGCACATTAATATATAGTGCTTAGTATGTAAGAAGCACTTGAAAGCTTAATTATGATCACCTCTGTTGAGGTTCTTTAAGTGATATTAAACATGTTTTACGTATCTTTTCTTTTTCTTACACATTTGTAGTCTCCTTTAAATAGGTTATATGATGACCATTTCCCCACCATATACCTAGTTCAGTGGTTGCCGTATAGTAGGTATTAAGTAAGTAAATAACTTTGAACTGTAAATGAATAGAAGTAGATTTTTCCTGTGAGAAAGTGAAATAGGTGCTTTGGCCTGGGTAGTCACTAAAATTTATAGCATAGTAACTCCTTTCTAAGTGAACCTAAAAAGTGTACAGTAAAAAGTAAATTCCCATCAGAAAAAGAATACCAGCCTAGTTTTTGAAAATGGTTGGGAGTTCTTGAAGTACTCTTAAGTCAGAGGGCTGGATAAGGGTCAGATGATCATATGTAACTGTTTCCTGCTGAAGGAGAATAAGTATATAAAGAGCTACTGAAAAATGGCAGAAATCTATAAAAGAAGACAAAAAGAGTTTGGAGTTAGGATTCCAGAAGCTTGAGCTATTGACATGGCAATTCAGTAGAGAGTGGTTTTGTTTGTTTGATTATTCGGTATTGGATATTGAACCCAGGACCTCGTGCATGCTAAGCACGTGCTCTACCACTGAGCTATACCTTCCTCCTCAGTAGAGGGTGATTTTAACAAAGTGACGCAGATTTGAGATTTTCAGAAACGCTGTGTGAAATAAGTAAGTTTATATTTTCCACTACAAGAGATTATATTAACTCCAGGGATCAATCATTAAAAGTGTCAGATTCATCCGGTGATTTTTGGGGGGAGACAGTTTTGAAAGTTTAAGTGTGGTAATTAGAGTTGCTTTGGGCTTTTGGTTTAATTGCAGGAGATAACAATGGGATGAGGCCAAAGAGGAGTTAAGAGCCATTGTAGGCTAGAGATTAATGGCTACACTGCAGAGCCTCCCTGTAAACTGTAGTTTCAAACTGCTCAGCCAGGCTTTGTATTTCACAGACTTGTTGAGCCCATTAAAGAAATGGAAGTCTCGCTATCTGATGGAGCAGAATGTCACCAAGTTACTGCGGCCTCTTTCTCCAGTCACACCGCCCCCTCCCAGTGCAGGCTCAAAGAGCCCCCCGCTGACCACACCTGGCCCGTCTCACCCAGAAGAGGAGTGTCGAAATGGATACAGCCTCATGTTCTCACCAATCACGTCTATTACTACTGCTAGTCGCTGCAATACTCCTCTGCAGTTTGAGGTGATTTGGGTTTCGTTGTTGGGAGTACTGAATATGAAGATCATCATTTGCATCTCCTCATTTCAGATATTTCACTCCATGTGTTTCTTTACCATGTTCTTTGCCCATCTTAGCAAGAGAATAGGAAACCTCAGGGTCATTGTGAGCTATTGGTAGCCTCTGGTCTCGGCAGTGCCCCCATTCTTCCCAGGCAGAAGTAGTGCTCCCACTGGTGACACTCATCAGTCTTTTGCATGCAGTTCGTCAGTCTCCATAACTTTAGGTGGTAATCATACTAGATCTCCATCTTTATCTTACCGTATACCTTGGTTAATACAGGCCTTTAGCTGCCTAGTAACCATTACAATGACACCACCTTGAGAGCTTAGATTATACTAATTGATTATGTCTCCATTTCCCAGCTTTTAAATCAATGAAATGTCTTTGCTATTTTGCATTCTTGTGGCCTCAGTAGACAGATTTAAGAAGCATTGGGGTATGGTTTATGGCAAATTAGGGGTTTTTTCCTGCTCCAGGTTACTTTTCCTTGTTATAATGTGTTAGGAATGGGAAGTAGAAAGAGGCTAGCAGCATGGGTATAAGAGCTAAATTTATTACATTCACTCCCTGGATTAAGTTAGAAATGTGTCTCAGCTGTTTCAAAAAGTTAAACCTGAATTGCTTTAGTATTCGAGTTTGAGTGACATGAGGTGTACTGAATAGAATCCATGTGCATAAAAAATTTCATCTGTTTAATGTTGCTTTAATTTTTATTGAATTAAATGGACACTGTGTATTCCTTCTCAGAAAAATTTGTTCTGATGACTAAACACACCCAACTGTGACCCTAGCTTACACTTCTCTAGATGTGTTCTTTGATAAGGTGAATGTTCTAACTACTGCCACCCTACATATTCTGATTTTATGAGAGCGTGGGGATTTCTCAGCCTTTAAATGGCTAACTCAGAGTGACTAGCAGCCTTGGAAGCAAGAAGCAGCCGTATTCTGTACCCATCCTAGACCGTGTTAACTTTTAGAGCAAACTTCTTTGGGGAGGGAAAGGTCCTTCCTGGTTATGTTTGATTTCAAGGGAAGTTACTCTCTACCAAATTCCCTATTGCATTATTTTTAGCCAGATAGCAGAACAGCTGACATGGGCCTTACTAACTTTATTTGGTCTAGTTGGAATTGACTTTCCAATTGGCTAAGTAAAGTTTGATGGTAAAATTTCATGATAGGACATTCTCTCTATTGGCCAGGAGATTATAGGAATAGAATTTCATACTTTATCATAATTAAAGTTTTTACTATAATTAAAGGTAAAATTAGAAGGTAAGTCTCTTTCTAGAACCAAGTTTAGCACTCATTAATATTTCCTACCCCTTGCAGCATTTCGGGTAACTATAAAACACTATGCATATGTAAGGTGTTGGGGGGTTTGGGGTTTTTTTGTTTGTTTGGTTTGGTTTTTTGTTGTTTTTTTTGTTTTTTTCAGTGGAATGGGAATTTCAGTGGCTGGTAATTGAATCCAGAATCTCATGCATGCTAAACGTGCACTCTACCACTGAGCTATACCCACCCCCCATTTTTATTTTTATTTTAAATCAAAGATCATTTTAGTCTAAGTATAATGTTTAGAATACCAGGAAGGGGGAAAACACTATAATAGTATTATATTATCCCTTCAAAAAGTTCAGTACGTGTTTTCACTATTTTAGTCTCATGATTTAACTAAGGACATTCACACTTTTTCATCAGTTAAAAAAACAAATTTCATGATCCTGACCATCTTTATCATCATTCTAATTGCCATACTCGTTCCTGTATTCTAGTATAGGGAGGTGGGAAGAAGCCTTATTTCCATCCAAGACTGTGACACAGAGAAATATCAGAAAGGTATCACAAGTAAAGATCAGCCCCATTGGGGGAAGAATATTTTTGGAAGGAAAAATTAAAAACATTCTAGGAGAAAAGTGAGAAATCTCTTCAGTACAAAGGGAAAGAATTGAAGAGACATAGTGGAAGAGAAACAAGATCATGAGGAGGGGGAAGCATCAAATAAAGAGTGAAAGCACCATTGGGAAGGCATGCTTAATTAGCCCCTCCTTTGCACTAGAGTAACCCTTCCCTTGTCTTCCTGCCTGGAGAGCCTTACCCCACTATCCATCTCACACATACTACCCACCCCACCAAATAAAATTTCACAGCCAGTATCCCTGCTCTGCTGAAACAGCCCCATTTCTCCTGCCACAGGATAGTCCTGCAACCCAGGCCAGCTATCCAGGCCTACAACATTAGCAACCCTCCGCTTACCCTGAATCCTAGTTATAGCTACCACCATCATCCTCTCTGCTTTTTTACCCATCATATCTTCTGTCCCAGCTCACTGCCCACTTCCTGTTTGATATGGGAGTGCTGCCTTAGGCAAAAGCCCTCAGGTAGCCCTGTTTTTAGGACCAGGGACTAGAAGTGTACACATCTGCTTTTTTTGTTGTTGTTGTTCTCCCTTCCTTTTCTCTCTATTCCTCAAAATACAATGGATTTTAATATCAGCGAACATTGGTAGGAGTGATCAGATCCATTTGGATTATGTCTAGAACTATCTAGCCTATGAGCTAGAGCCCATCAGTCATAACTCCTGCAACTCATTTGAGAGGAGCTGGCCATCTCCCTAACCCTGTGAGCCCCCAGCACGAATCACACAAGAGGATGAGCAAATGACACTGAGAAGGAGGCATGGGGTGAAGAAAAAAGGTGCCCATTAATGAAAAATAGGTTGCTACAGTTTAATCTAATTTAGACATATAATAATGTAGAATCTCACCAGTTTAACACTTTCTTGATATCTGCTTGAGATGTTTACTGATAGCATGAACCATTATAACCAATTTACCTTTAAATGCTTTCAAAGACACCAGAAAGCATTTTAACAAGTCATTCTGTCCATTGAGATGAATTCTGCATTTAAACATTTCCCTTGTGCACTTATTTATCCCTTTCCCTCCTGACTCCTCAAAAAAAGTGTGGCTAACCATCTATGCTTGCTTTTGCTTTATTTTTTGTTTGTTTTGCTTCTTTTGAGTAGATGAATAACAAGATGCTTTTCCCTCCTCTAGAACATATCCTCCCCTGAGAGTTCCCCTGCGAGTAGGCCCGAGTCCCTGTCACCCGAGGTAGTTATCACACCATCTCACACTTGGAGGCTGAGAGTGAGTGTGCATGAGTGTGTTCTTGCGTGTGTGGGGAGGGCTAGGGGACCCTAGTGAATGATGCAGTGGGCTGGAGGGTGGCCGATTGGTCACTAGAAGTTGAATGAATCTTCCCATGTAAGACTGGTTACTCAGAGCTTTCAGGGTAGATGGAGGAAAATGAAGTTTTGTTGTGTGTGTGTGTGTGTGTGTGTGTGTGTGGTGGGGTTTGTTTTTGTTGCTGTTTGGGGGCGGGTATGGCTGATGAGTTCTTTAAAAGAAGATAGAATCTAAAAGTCAAGTTTAAAGAAACTGAAGATGTGGTGGGAACCTTGTTAAAGATCGTCTAACGAATAAAGTGTGTTTGTTAAATAAGGAAAGTTAAATCAATAATTGGTAGGAACTATCTCTTGCTATTTATTATCTTGGACTAATAAAGGAGCAGCATATATTGGAAAAATTAGGCAATGATTTATGCTTTAATCCAGGGTTACTCTGACAGCTCTATTTAACTGGATGTTTTGAGCTTTGGTTGATAGATTAAGCAACTTCTTTAGGAAGGGAGAGTCATGCCTCTCAGCTCTGTAGGTCAGCCCATGGCTTCTGTGACACAGGCCTCCATTCTGCAGTGATTGGGAAATGGTTGCTGTACAAGTGTTATCTCTTAGGATATCATCTGAGTGCTTTTCTTAGAAATCCTACTGCTGTTGAGATGTTAAATTCAGATTTTAGTGCTAGAGTTTCTTAAGTATTACTAGATTTAGACAAATGTAAGTAATGATTAACTTCATGAATTCACGTGGGAACCTTTTTACTCTTGAAGAGAAAGTTACGGTCTGTCGTAACCTTTCAGAAATTAACTGAACTGTTAACCCCTACCCTTACCATAAAAATATTAGTGCTAAACTCAGTGACAGATGACCAAATTTTGCCTCAGTAGAATTTTATATGTCAACATGAAGCTGAAAAGGATTGTTTCCTAGTGTACTAGATGTTTTCTGTGAGTTTTTTACTCTGTCCTGTAAGGAACGTAAACCTCTCTCCTCAGTTGCTAAAAATTCTAAGATAGCATAATTTGGAGGCTGACATGGTATGGTATCTGGATTTCTGGTACTCTTCTTTGTATAGAGTTAGCTATAGTTTACCTAGTGGCGGAAAATCTTGATGTTAGGAGGTAGTGATGACCAAATAGATGGGGTTGTTTTTGGTACATTTCAGCATTTCAGATGCTCTGCAGTGATGGGCATTAGTGGTCTTGTGGTATGTTGACATACATTAGAGGATAAAGAAAGAACAGTTGAGTAGCCAGAAAGTTTTATGAGAAACATAGCTACATAATAGCGAAAGTGAGTGAAGAACTGGTTGGTTGACACCTTTAACTAATACCATTCTCCTTTACTGAACCAGTAACTTAAATACTTGACTGTTTGTCTCCTTTCTACTTTCTTTTACCTTTTCCCCTCCTCCCACCTTCCATCAATATTAGTTTAGAAATGAATAACACCAGAAGCCTGTTATCTTAAGACACCATTCTCACCTCTGTAGCATCCATGGGGCTCAGGTAAATCCCTGATTATACTGCCAGATTATACTGTAGTGCAGGGTGACTCAGCAAACCTGATGAAAGGCTAAGCAGGCAAAATAGTCACATTTGGCCAGTTATCTAATTCTGACTTTCCCTGTATCCTCATCCAGAAAGACTTTAAAGCAGCTTGGGAAAGGCCGGGATTCTTTGGTGATCTGGCATGGGACTGGTGCTACATGGGACCTTCACGGATGTTAATGGCTTTCTCTCTTCTGCTTCCATCCCTCTTATCTTTCCTTGTTCACCTGTGCCCTCTCACTCCCTTCTCTTCTGCCCTTTGACTTTTTCCTTTCTCCCCTACCCTATGTCTCCGTTGATTTTTATTCTTTCAGCTTTGTCATCGAAAAGATCTGGACCTGACAAAAGTAGGCTACCTTGACTCCAACACTAACAGCTGTGCTGACAGACCTTCCCTCATTAACTCGGGTCATTCTGACCTGACTCCTCATCCCTCCGTCGGGCCCGCCTCTGAGACTGGCTTTACAAGCAGGAGTGGCGATGGACATCAGACCCTTGTGAGAAACTCGGACCAGGCATTTCGGACAGAGTTTAACTTGATGTATGCCTACTCTCCGTTGAACGCTATGCCTCGAGCAGATGGATTATATCGAGGGTCTCCCCTAGTAGGGGATAGGAAGCCTGTACATTTGGATGGGGGATACTGTTCCCCTGCAGAAGGGTTTCCCAGCAGATATGAACATGGTTTTATGAAAGACCTCTCTCGTGGCTCCATGTCCCCTGGTGGCGAAAGGGCTTGTGAAGGAGTCCCATCAGCCCCCCAGAACCCACCGCAGAGGAAAAAGGTAAGTGTCACATTTTATAGGCCCTTTTGAAGAACATTAACTGAACAATTAAATAAATATTTACTGAGTTACCACTATGTTTTCAGCACTGTTCTCAGTGTGAGGAAAACAAAAATAAGTAATACATAGTCTCTGGCATGTGCAGTGAAAGACTGTTTTAATACAATTTGATGAATGTTATAAGTACTCAGAAAATTTAAATGCCGACCATGTGTGTTCCATACACTTGGCTAGGTAATTCAGAGGATAAAGCAGTGAAAAAAAGTTACGCTACTTATATGTGTTATGTAGTACTTTTCATGTTCTAGGCATGAACATGTTAAGCCCTTGTGCATTTAACCTCACAATAATCCTTGTGCATTTAACTTCATGATAATCCTGTTAAAAAAGATGGGTAATTTCCCATTTTGCAGATGAGGAAACTAAGGCAAGTTGGGTAACTTGCCCATGGTTACCCAGCTAGTATATGGTAGAGCCAGGACACTACCCAAGTCTGTCTCATTCTAGATTGTGTGCTCTTATTGCCACTATGCTGTGTTGCCTTCTAATGGAGCTTGTAGCAACTGAGACTGAACTTAGCAGATAATTACATTAATGATGATGGAAGCTCCAAAGGTATTGTTCCTATGTGATGAGAACAACTTAACAAGGGCACCTGGCTTAGTCGGATATGTGGAGAGTACTTTGAGAACAAGTAAGAAGCTCATAGCCAACTTGGAGAGGTGGTGGAGTGACAGGTGACAGGTCACTGATTTGGCTGGTCTCAGACAGTAAGTAGAATCAATCAGCCAGCAAATGAGGGTGAAGATGTTATAGGAGAAAGAGCAGAACAAGTAACTGTGGCCCTCCTCTGGGTGTGCAGTTGAATGTTGCCATGGTGTCACATGAAAAGTGAAAGTCAGGAGGAGAATGCAGAGATGGGCAGGGCCAGGCCATAGAGAGCTGGTTTGAAACTTGACTTTTGGGGGGAATGGGGGGCTTGACTTATAAGTAATGCCTATGCTACAAATTACGAAGTCAAAAATAGGCTCTTTATGTCAGTGGTTTTCAACTAGGGGCACTTGGAGATTCATGGGAGTATTTTGAGTTGTCACAACAACTGCGATTTACTTGTTAGAGCTAGAGATGCTGAATGTTCTGTGTGTGGCAGTCTCACATAATTGCCAAATACATGTGGTACTCCTGTTGAAATGTAGCCTGGTGGCTTTTTATCTTTGCAGTATAATGAAATACATTGCCAGAATTTATTATTAACTTCCTTCCAAGATTGTGTATAGAAAATACATATACAGAATTGTCTTAAACTTTGTGCTTTTGTTATCTTTTACATTTGAATGGAAAATGAGAGCTCTAAGTGGGTAGAAAAAGGAGGAAACACTGGCAGATAAGTTGGAATAAGATAGTGCTGGATTTAGAAGACTGTTGCATGAACAGCATTGACCATTAGGAATAAAAATGGTCTTTGAACTTCTGGTTTCATTTATTATGTGCAAAAGTGATTGAAATGACTTGTTATTTCAGAAATGCTGTTGAACACCTGCTGTTGGCCAAGTTCTGCACTGGATGTTAAAGATAAAAATCCAAATAAACTTAATCTTCGCCCTTGTAGACCATACAGTTTCCGAAGTACACAAGACTTGTATTAGGTTGACAGCCGGTGTAGGCACCGTGTGCTGTAACAGCAGAGAGGGAGGTGCACTAGACAGGGCAGGAAAGAATGAGGCAGGTGAATGGCGAGTTGGGGAGAAGCTTCCAAGTACAGGTTTTCTAGAGCTGACTTGCTAAAATATAAGTAGGAAACAGATAGTCCTAAATCCCTGGGTAAATCTTGAAAAATTGAGCACATTTAAGAACTCTGAAGCACTGACTTTTTCTTTTGTATTTTTTTGTGTGTTTTTCTCTTGTCTCAAAACAGCCAACTCTAAGGATTCTTGGAGGGTGAAGAAGAGCTAGCAGAATCACCAGGGGGCTTTTTCAAACTACACCAGCTCCTAACTCTTCACCTTCCATTTTTTAGGAGCTACCATTGTTGCGAATAACTGTGATAGCATACTTCTATTCTGGAACTAATCCCACAGGTTTCTCTGAAGGCAGAAAACGAGGTCTACTGGTGAATGCCATTTTTCAAAAATGTAGTCTCCTAGTGTATTCTCTTTTGTTTGCTAGTTTCTGGCTGATTTAAATACGTAGCTGTGCTGAGATCTCTCACACACCTGGAAAACATCATCTGTTGGTACCTGCTTTGTTTGCGTGGCTTGCTAGTGGTTTACTAGGGTTCCATCTTCTTTCCCCGTTGCTGGTGATCCACTAATGATGTCTGGCTAGAGTCCTGCTTCTTGTTTCCTTCCTAGGTGTCCCTGCTGGAGTACCGCAAACGGAAACAAGAAGCCAAGGAAAATTCTGCTGGTGGAGGAGGTGACTCTGCACAGAGCAAAAGCAAGCCTGCAGGAGCTGGGCAAGGCAACAGTAACTCACTTTCTGACACTGGTGGCCATGGTGTGCAGGGATCCTCGGCCCGAACCCCATCTTCCCCTCACAAAAAATTCTCCCCATCTCATTCCTCCATGTCTCATTTGGAGGCAGTAAGCCCATCAGATTCCAGGGGCACTTCATCTCACTGCAGACCTCAAGAGAATATCAGCAGTAGGTGGTAAGTTTATCTTTGATGCTTTAATGATCAAGTTCAGGAGGGAAGTGTACGTCTAGGCTCTTTCCCAGTTTTACCTAAAATACGTGGAAACACTTAACTGAGGAAGCTGGCCAGCAGTTCACAGTACCATCTATCCTGTTCAGCTGATTTTATAGTATCAAACACAGCCCCCCAGCCTTAGAGAAGCAAAGAATCCCACCAGGCCTGCAGGACAACGTGTCGGGCAGCATATAGTTGTGAACACAGAGGAGCCATTTTATTTGCTGGGCACAACACTGCCTCTTCTGTTTTCTCCTTTCATACGAAAGGTAAGTCAGGAGTTCAGCCAAGTTCCACTTAAATTAATAACAGATGTCTTAGGGGAAAGGCATAACTCCATGGTAGAGTACATGCGTAGCACTCACAAGGTCCTGGGTTCAGTCCCCAGTACCTTTATTTAAATTAATAAGCAGACAAACAAACAGACCTAATTACCTCCCCCAACCAAAAAAAAATTTTTTTTAAGATAAAATTAACACAAAAAATAACAGATGTCTCAGATCCACACAGCTAGCATATGCAGAGAGATGTAACCTGTTCTGAAAAGACTTGTCTGGTGTAGGGGAGACCACAAATAAATTATACCAGCATCAAGGACTGATTGTCAAGTGAGTGAAATAATGAGGCATTTCAGGGATCTTGAACTTAAATGAAGTCTGGGAAAGAAGAGGCACTGCTCAAATGAGTAATGTTCATTAACCTATAAAACATTAAGTGGCAAGTGCATGCCAGGGACGTGACTTTGCAGGAGAGAAAATGTAGCATTTCAAAATGGAGGCTAAGAGAAGTAGACACCTTTAAACCTCCGTTTCCTTGATTGCTTTTTCTTTGAAAGTGCTTGTTCTTCTGAGCCTGAGGTAGACATAGGTTGAGGCAGAGAAGATAACCTTGTTTTAAATTGGTCCTGAAGGAAATAACGTTTAAGAGGGTGTTTTAAGGGAATGTATTGTACCACCCTTGTCAGAGCTTTAAAGAAAGCTTGTTCCAGACTGTTGACTCTAAAGTCCTGTGCCGAAAACCTGCATGCTCTTACCTTCACAGGATGGTTCCCACATCAGTGGAACGGCTCCGAGAAGGAGGGAGCATCCCCAAGGTCCTCCGAAGCAGTGTGAGGGTGGCCCAGAAAGGAGAGCCTTCTCCCACGTGGGAGAGTAACATCACAGAAAAAGACCCAGGTGAGCCCATTGCCTTCTGCCAACCATGTTCAGGGACACATGAGCCAGGCTCCACACAGTTCACACCAAATGCCGGGCTGAGGTGAGTCCATTTCTGAAGCCGTTGGGCTCCCCCTGTGTGTGAGGTTCCAGCACAGTCTTGCTTCCACTCTTTTGGGCTGCAGCGTTCTTAAGATCTAGCATTGCTTGCTCTCTGTCTGCTCTTCTTTCCCAAGGGATACCTTTCTGTAACTCATCTCTCCAAAGGCCTGGAAATCACCTTGATGAAGGATGAAGAGAAAGAAGGAGACAGGAATCAGATCAGGCATTTAAAACAGCCCATAATTAACCACTCCTGTTGCCCCTCTGGCATGCTGTACTCACCCGATTTGTCAGAAAGAGAGCAGTATGGGTTGATGATGGCATTGGTGACTTGAATGTACAGTGGCTATCTGTCACTTATTCTCAGAAGATGAGTTGATTTTGTGTTACCTTCCAGACCCTGCAGATGGTGAAGGTCCAGAGACACTGAGCTCAGCACTCTCTAAAGGAGCAGCCGTTTACAGCCCTTCCAGATACAGCTACCAGGTGAGACGAGGAAGTGCTCCTCTCTGGACATAGGAGTATGTTCTTGCTTCCAATGTTTATGATTCTGGCCATCCTTTGCAGTTGAGATGCTGTCTTTCCATATAGTTTCAGCTGCCTTGGAAATAAGTCATCATCTGCTCACCTTCAGGTAATAAATCATGCCAGAAAAGTAAAATGACCAAGGATAGCCATTTTACTGTCTTTGATATCCTAGAAAGAACAAATGGTTAAGATGGTGATGAAGAAGTAGGGAGTTTTAAGTGTTCACGAGCTGAAATGGCTTAACAGGGACTTTTTCACCTCCTTATGCTTTTCCTCCCAACTCTCTCTAGCTCCTGCAGTGTGATAGTCCACGGACAGAATCACAAAGCCTCCTCCAGCAGAGTTCCTCCCCCTTTAGAGGACATCCCACCCAGTCTCCAGGATACAGTTATCGAACTACTGCACTGAGACCTGGGAACCCCCCCTCTCATGGTT